TGAACTTTGGTGTTTCTTCGTAAATAGCAGACCAATCCGGCTGCATGGATCACTGGTGCTTACTCCATGGTGGAGCTGAATGTGTGCAGATCTGCAGACGGGCTGTTTATCTGCTTTTACATTAATGCACTGTTGAACATGGTGTCCTGGAAAAGGAGATTGGACTGCAGAGGGAAGTGGGTAGAGGGAGGGCGCATGGGGGGTGGAGGACTTACTCAGTGTGAAGGTCATTTTGTCCGGCAGGCTTGTAGTTGTGTCAAGCACTTTGTTTGCAAGAGCATGTGTTTGTGGCCTTGTGGGTGTGGAGAGGCGAGACCAATTGGAAAGGCTGCACACTGTATTCTTGTTAACTCTGAAAGACAGTCTGGGCATGCCCAGTGACTGGTGTGTGTCCCGTAATAGCAGGAGCTGCAGAGAGCTGACGTTGTTAGAACGGCATTCGTCTGTCTGCGAGACACTCAAGGAGCTGCACGAAGCGACAGGAAAGGCTGCTAGAGACTTACATGAGTATGGGTTCATTTCAGTGAACGCATGTACGAGAAACAGGCAGAAGCAGAGTTTATGTCAGATATTTACAGCTGAATGTTTAACCAGGATCCATTTAAAAACCACCCTGTTGCTTCAAATCGGGCAGCGAGTGGATAATTGTGCTGCAACAGAACACAAGTTGTATTTTTCAACCACAAATAAAATAGGGCTACTTTTAGGCAACCAAATAGCAAAAAAACAATCACCTGCTTCACAGAATGGCATTCAGAACAACCAGCACCCAAAATGATGTCAGACACTTCAGTTCCTCACATGACCACTTGAGGCTGACTCTTAAACGAGTCCCTGCCCGTAGAGCCCCAAGTTAACCTGCTCAGCTTCACAGCACACACGCATGTTCTCACAGCCTGGTGCATTCAGCGGTTTTGGTCTCGATATCTGGTTTGTCCATTCATGGCAACTGTACAGGAGCCACATTCCTACATGAGTCATTAGTTTCAATTGTATTAGTGCTTAAAATGATGTCTACTGAAGGGCGTGGTGGCTGCTGGCCTGCAGCATCACAGGACAGCCCACGGCTCGGAGGTGTCTGCTTGATGACTGAAAACGTAATTTATGTGGATGTGCAGCAGACTGTGTTTGTGTCGTGGCTACGCCGCAGCACTCCTAATACGTTGAGCACTCATTTTTTTATTGTCTGTAAAGTTACTACAACCAGCAGCCTGTTGTGGCCTGTAAATGCTAACAGGGTGACCACCGTCTGGACTGGAAATCTGGTTTGAAGCAAAGCAAACACTTCTTGTTTGCCAGTAGATTTCTTAAAAGAAATTATAGACACTTTGTGGCTCATTTCTGTGTAGAAGGCACACACACACACACACACCTCGCGTAAAAGTATAATTAGAAGACTGATCTATTCTGGTGTGTGTTGAGGCTCCATGTGGCTCACATGCCTGGGGCAGCCACTTGCATTGGTTCTAACAGTGGCATGCTGCTGCAGCGCTGCTCCGTACACGCTTCACTCAGGTGGCACATGCAGTGAAGCCACGGGGCAAACCTCAAAACAGCAAACAGTGTCATCACAGAGAGGGCGTCAATCTGTAGGTATAGGTTAGGACTTAAAGCTGAAAATCCAGAAACAGGAACTAAATGCATAAAATATGAAAAATCCCCCAAACAGATGCTGTCTTTTTGACTTCTTGTTTAAAAGTATGTGAATCATGGTTGCTACCAACAAACTACACACTGTTCAGCCTGTCCAGGAAATGATCGCTCAGGAAACAGGGAGCGAATTTTGTAGAATCAGTTTATCAATGAATTTCTGCAGGAAACGTCTGCTCATAAAATAAATCAGATTTCATGTCACAGTTTGTTAAATCACTCCACGTCTGCCCTGTATGCTTCACGCAGGAACAACATCTCACCTGGTTGTGACAGAAGAAGGAAGAGGTGTTGTGTGGTTGTTTGTGTATTAGGGTTCGGGTTCGATTGCGGCGTCTGGTTTCTGCCCCTGATGACGCACAGCAGGGCCCTGGTGGAGAGCTCTACATGTGTGTGTTTTTACCAGTCTGTCTCCAGGGGACGCTTCATCGTCTGCCTGAGTTGTGAGCTCAGTTGTTTGCTTCACAGCAGTTGGTAAAATTCTCCAGTAACTTCAATGTTGCACATTTGCTGATTGTGTCAATCAAAAATTCCAGTTTTAGGAAGCAAATTCAGAAAAATGAAATAACCTAAGATCTCTTCCATTGGTGTCCAGGGGACAAAACCTTGAGGGTACTTCGGGCAGATCTTCAGGCAGCTGTGTGGTTGCTATGGTGCTGATCACACACAGGAAAGCAATGCAAAGGAGGGAAAAAGGGCCATTCATTGAACTGTCTGATGCTACTGTTTTCTCTGCTTAATCTAGTCCCTGGCTGCTGTCAGACAGTTACTGAAGCATCTCATCGACTCAGATGTCTTTGTTTCTTGCCTGGAATAATGCATTTCTCTAATTATCCTCCGTACAAGGAGTGTGAGACACGCAGCTCGCCAGTAACATTCACGTTTCATTATTACCACCAGTGTCGCCCAGACAAGCTGCCCCAGATATGAATCATGTGTTTCTGCTGCATCAGGCCTTCGTGTCTCGGATAGTTTTATTGCTGTGCCCTTGTCTGACTACAGAGTTTTATCTATGTTGCCACGTGAACATCTGATAACGCACATGCGCTTCACCTTTTAAAAAGCATGTGTGTTGTGAGACGTTTTTCATGGTCCTGGGGAACAAAATGATCTATTCCAACACGAGCTCATTTGAGGAATGAAGAAATCAATGCAGATTGTAAAGCTGCTGAATGGGGAAGTAAAAGGAAACAAATCAGGGCGTCATTAATGATAACGACTGAAAAGATGGGACAGCTTCTAGTCGTCCTTTCATAAGTGGCCAGTCTGTGCGAAACATGGCGGATATGTCAGTTCGAACTATTAACTACAGCTGCATCCACACAGAAGTATGAAAAGACCTTAATTAACTCAATACATGTTCAATGTTTAACCTGTTTCATTGCAGACATGAGCGTTAGCAGTCTTCTCATCTATACCGATCAGCCTCAACATTAAACACCTGAAGTGGAAAGCATTCATTATCTCCATACAGCCCAGTGTTCTGCTGAGAAACCTTTGAAAAGCTTGTGTGATCTTATTTTATCCACCTACACATTGTGTAGACCCAGTACACATGCCCACCGCCCCAAAAGCTGTCCATCAATGGTTTGAGAAACATGACGAAGAGCCCGGGCTGCAAGGTGGCGCAGTTGGTAGCGCTGTTGCCTCGCAGCAAGAAGGTCGTCAGTTCGCGTCCCGGTGGGGGCACCGGAATCTTTCTACGTGGAGTCTCCATGTTCTCCCTGTGCAGCGTGGGTTCTCTCCAGGTTCTCCGGCTTCCTCCCACACAGTCCAAAAACATGTTGAGGTTAATTGGTGATTCTAAATTGTCCGTAGGTGTGAATGTGAGTGTGCTTGGTTGTCTGTCTCTAAGCGTGGCCCTGCGATCGACTGGCGACCTGTCCAGGGTGTCCTCTGCCTTCGCCCTAAGTCGGCTAGGATAGGCTCCAGCCCCCCCGCGACTCTAATGAGGATTTAGCGGTGTATAGATAATGGATGGATGGATGGACAAAGAGCCCAAGCTGCTGCTTCTGATTGACCATCCAGGGGAAGCGTCGCAACTAGTCAGATCCACGGAGGCTCATCACATCACCCAAAAATTCCAACGCCCCGGTGTCAGAGGTCCATGGCCCGCTGGACCAGAGCTGTTCTGGCTGCATGAGGGGACGTCACGTTGCCAGACAGGTGGTTTCTCCCCAAAATGATGTTCCTATACAACTAAAGTGCATCCGCAGTTACGTTCTGAAGACTCAGTAGGATGCAATAGGTCTGAGGAGGACGGATGGCTGCTGGTGGCACAAGAGACACTTGACTTCGTTGCTTTTAGACTTAACTTGTGTTTTCAGTCATGGCCGATCAGGTTTAGGCACTAAAATGATTTGGTTTGGTTTAGGATGTGATTATGGTTCATCTTAAAATAGGCCCTTTCACAACCCAAACTCTGCTTTTGCTGCTAAATAATATATAAACTGTCGGCTGAAATTAATCTGGGAGAAAATACATTTTCCTCAAAACATGACTGAGTTTAATTGTATGGAAGCATGTCGAACTATTCCAGCAAGAACATCATGAGCAAAAGAAAAAAGTTGAAAAATGTAAAGTGAGATACCACATACACTGAATGCAATATGCCTGTCTATCTATTCATTCACTCACTCACTCACTCACTCACTCAGTCACAGCCAATCAGCTGGTTCGTTCAGACAGGAAGAGGAACAGGTGGCCGCGGGTGGAAACAGAACACTTTAGATCACTATATTCTGGGAAGATGAGCTTTATCTGTGTTTACTGAAGTGAGACGGCTGAAAAGGAAACTGGCCGGAGACAAACAGAGCAGCCGAATGAGTTAATGAACAAGAAGCCTTCTCACAGTTTATGAGCTGAAAAGAATAATAGGCGGCAAAGAGAAGAAATGCAGTGTGAATACGTGTTGTGTCGTGCACAAAAACAGCATTTACATTAGTTGAAACTGTATTTTTTCATTAAATCTGCTTTCATTTCTTGAGGTTACACTTCAGTTGTGATGTCCTTGGTAACAGCACAGCGGGCTGAATGGAGACTTCACACGGGGACAGGAGTGTGTGCACGATGAGAGGAGGTGTGGGCGTGCATGCCTGTGCCTAGAAATGAAATCATGAAATCAAGCATAGATAGAACAAGGTCAGGGAGATTAATATAAAATGATTAACAAGGTAGAAACAAGGACAGGGGGAGACAGAGGGAGGCTTACAGTAGAGGAGGAGCCGGGAGGCGGGGCCCTGCTGCTGGCAGCCTATCGGACAGAGAGGAGGCGCTAGCACGAGATGAAGGAGGAGGCAGAGCAGCAGACGGAGGGAGAGAAGGAACACAGCATGCTAGAGAAGGAGAGCGAGGTGGAAGGTGCTGTAGAGGTAGCAGACCGAGAGATGCAGCGCCACACTGAGCGTGTCCGCAGGGCTGCAACTCTCTGCTGTCTCAGGGGCCAGGATGCATTGTGGAGCTGTGCTGCAGCGAGTCGCTGCAAGAGCAGGCAGTGCAGATAGGAGTTCACCTTGAGCCGGATCCAGCAGTGCCACTCTGGACCTCTGGGATTACAGCAAGCACTCACCGATCCTACCAGCAAGAGCAACTGATATTTCTCAGCTTTGACAACCTGCCAAAACTAACTTTTGGATTACTGGTTCACACCAGAAGCTCTGACTGAACAGGCTGACTACCAGCGAAGAAGCCTGAATTCAAACAGGTTCTCATTTTGGCAGAGACTTGCCAGCTGTCTCCAAACCTGACAGCATCCTTCTCTAAGACTGGGACGTCCACCGTTCACACTGGAACCCCGCAAAGCCACAACCAAGCAGGTCCTGCAGCCCAGGAGTCCTGGAGCTGGCCTGACCTTGGACCGGCTGTCACCTGAACCCCTCCTGGCTCCAGCAGAAACATCCAGCATGTCTCAGACCGGGGGACGGTTCCACAACAAAAAGGCCGGCATTCGGGCCGCCGTCATCCTAATTGGACTCCTGCACAAGTCTCGCAAGGCCAAGGAGAAGGAGAGGGAGAAGGAGGAGAGCGAAGGGTGGGTGAAGTTTACCTCTGTGTCGTGCTGGTAGTTGAAGGGCCAAGCAGGCAGTCTGCAGTGCAGGTCTGGGACAAAACTTTATTAGCTTGTAAGGTCTTTGTTATTCCAGAGCTCTCTGTGGTTCAGGGAGTTCTGCATCTGCAGTTTAATTATCGGTCCATTTTATCAGTGTTTGTCTGTGAGGGAGTTGTGTCTGCTGACTCCTGAGTGTAACTGGGTCAGTGGAGCTTAGGTGGACACAGGTGTGTGTTCTGAGGGCTTTTGGAGCCAACAAGAGGGACTGAGAATGGAAGAAAGAAGTGTAGGGAACATGGGAAAAGAAGCTGTCCTGTTGATGCTGATTCCTGATGTTTATTCCTTTACACAGAGGCAGCGCGGCCACACGTCGGTAGGCTGGTGAACTGATTCATGGTATCGTAGGTGAGCAGCAATGTACAGTACAGAAAGGAACACAGCGCAGCTTCTCTGCTCTCTAACCGACTGTAAACACTACGGAGCCAACAGCCCACCTCTTGAGCATTACGTCTGCCTCTCAGTTAGATCTGTACCATGGAAGGAATATCAGGTTGTGCCTTGAAGGAGGGTTTTGAGAGCTCACTTCATGCACCTGCAAAGGGATTTTCCCTGCTGAGCTGTAGCCAGATCATCTTACTGCTCACACTACCTCAGCTCTGTGTCAATAACACCTCTGAGAATATCCCACCTGGCAACAACAGTGAAAGAGGTTGGCAGGGTCGAAGCTGCCGCTACCCACCCCCTCCCCCGGGCAGACCTGTTCGACCGAGCTAACATTAGCAGCCGTGCATGTACAGTTAAAGTGAAGTCTGAGGCTGCAGACTGAGTTTGCCTGTTCAGTATCGTCCTCGTGGGGGATCAGCGGTGCTGTCTGGGGTAGAGGCGTGTCTGTGTGAGTGAACATCAGATGTGCAGCACTGGATCCACTTTGTTCTAACAGCTCAGCCCGAAATAGGCTGCATCAAAATAGACTGTAACTCACTTTGCAAACGCTGATAAGTTTGTAGCGCCTGCGTGTGTGTAGCTTGGTTCCAGATAGTGTAAAATTAACCCCTGGAGGCGAGGCTGGATTAGCAGCCATGCAGATCGGGCAACTATCCAAGACCTCCTGAGGCCCCAGAAAGCAGCAGGTTTGTTGTGTGACATCGGGTTTGTGGTGGTTTAAGTCACTTTCTTTGGGAATATGCACCTAAAACGAAGGTCAGATGAATTATGATGCAGTCTTGGTTCGTATAAGGGACCAAACCTTTACGGTTTTAGGTAAAAAATACACTTACATGGTGCATACCCCCAAATAAATGTGTCTTTAATGAAATGAGCATCATGAATGGCTTGCAGTGAGGCCAGGTGGTTCTCCAGCTGACAGCAAGCGCCTGGTTTTAGTCGCTTTAGGCAAAATGTACTTGACAGCAACAAGGTCCATATACAGTGCTGCTGCTGCCCCAGGGCCCTCTGTGGACGGAGCCTGGAGGTGATGAGTGTCTGTGACTGCAGCAAGCTGCTCGCTGATAAACATGCACACAAATACACTTTAAAAAATCTGACAGGCACATCTATTTGAATTTTTTCCATGTCTCCCAAGTGATTTATGATTTTTTTTTGATTGTGGTTTATTGGCTCATGTCAAATGACAACAGCCGAAATGTCCTGCAGCTCTGCCACAGCTCTGCTCTGCTGCGTCTGTATCACAACACGATCCAAGAGCAGCTGTTGACTATTCCAAGGTGTCTTTCTCTTTCTCTTCCCTATGATGTGCGTGATTGCGTACTTTCAGACTTTTAACATATCTTTTTGATAAGAGAGGATATTTCATGTCCTCTAAGCTGAGTTTTCTCACCATCAATACAGGAGGAAGTGAATTACAGACTTGAAATATCGGAGCTGAGCATTTCTATTTACATATTAACAGGGAAGGCTGCACACAAGGCTAGAAAACACTGACCTTGCCTGACTGTTTACTTAAAAACATTTTCTCTTTTCATCCACACTTTTCTTACCAGTTTTCAGATTTTCATCACACACACATGCAAACATGTCGGCATGCAACCTGCTCCCTGGCTGTCTGTTGTGTATTCCCCTCACTCCTCATCTCTGAGCTGATAGAGCTGCACCTTATATTTGCCCTCCATTAAGCTGAGCAGCATGAGGTCTGCTGCTTGTCTGAATGTTTATGTTCCCTGCATGCATTAATGTGCTCCACAGCTCATCTATCTCCAGCTGCAGACCTGTTGTGTTGTTCTGTCCCATGTGTGTGTGTAGCTACGAGTGTATGAGCTGCGTTATAAAAGCCAGTTCTTCTGCAGGCGGTTATGTGGTTACGGTTACATTTCCCTGCTGCTTTGTGGTGGTGCTGTGGTGCAACTGGTGTGTGAGCAACACACTCATTTATGATCTCAGAGTGTTTTTTGTCAAACCTAATCCATAGTCGCAGCATGGGGCTTCCTGTTCTCCCTCATCTGCAACCTCTGAGATGAAAAGCTCTGAACAACACAGCAGACTACATACACGATCTATGTATGATAGGTCCATGTATGATGTGCTGCAGGCACAAGGCACAGTTTAAGTTCAGTGCAGCGTTAGGAGACCATCTTGCCATGGATCACACCGGCACACCACCATCAGCCAACCCAAGAGTGCTCAGGGTTCAAGAACTGGATCACAACCCGTTTAGAACTCCACTTTTATTTTGATTCCAGCTACACACCTGTAGAGTTTCATCCCTGCATCTTGCACAGTTGTGACACTATTGCATGAACAAGACGGACCTATAAACACCTGCCAAAGTTTCCAAACCCTCTCTGTGGTTTTGAGGGCGTTTCTGCTCCAGCCGGTGTCTCAAAGACCAGATTCTGCTCTGACAGACTCACAAAGGGAAAACATTAGCAGCTGTGGTTGGTAATAGTTTAGAGGGAAAAAAATAAAACATGCATTTGTTTTGCAATTTGCAATATTTAATTAGTTTTTTATGGCTGTACTGAGCCTGTGGAGCTCATGTCGCTTTCAGGGAGCTGTACAGTCACATCACAGGAAAAGGTGGAAATTACATCAAGATGTTCCCTGTCTGGGATTGACTCACCGACAAAGAAGGACAAGGAAAACGTCCAGATGTGGAAATGGTCGGCTCACCTTGCCTATACGTGAAGCTGCAGTGACTACAGCCACAGATGTCAGGCAGATGCTTTATTATAAGACCCCATATTTTGTTGTTGAAGGACAAGGTTGCTGCGTGTGCATCAGCAGCATGTAAACACAAACTCAGCATGTGTTAAATTCAGTTTTCTGAGGATGTGATGGGTTCTGAAAATCTTAAAAAGCCTTATTTTGTTCATCTGCAATTCAAATCTTTCAAGGATGTTCGTGAATTCTGGATATCCCTTTTAAATGATAAAGAAATACCATTAGTGTATTTTATTGAGGGGCTGTCTGACTCATCACCGTGACCTTGGAACACACCTCTTTTTGTGCTTCTTTATTAGTGTTATCATCCAGTTTTTTCAGCTGTGGAAAACTCAAGGCAACCCTCTGCCACTAAAGTCGGCCTCACTGATGCCAAGGGTCTTGAACAGTCCCTGGCAAAGTCAAAAAAGCAAAGACTTAAAGTGAAAGAATGCAGGATCGTATGTAAATGAACAGAGCTGAGAAAGCCACCCATCCCCTCCCTCCAGGACTCGGTCCAGCACCACTCCTCCTAAATATACGACGTGCTCAGCCTGCGTGCAGCTGAAGGACTAATCCATGAAAGAGTGTCGCGCAGTAAAAGTACATAATGTCTCATCCACGGTAACCCATAACCCTCAGCCCACAAAACAGAACAAAGCTAGCCACATAATTATCTGTCCAACAATGCAGACCAACCCTGTCGTGGTGTTTCAGACTCATACAGATGCTAACTCACGTTTGTACTTATTTAGTTTCAGACTTTGCTTCTACTGCTTTTCTTTTCTTGCTTTGTGTAGCAGTGCAGTATGTCACAGGTTTAGCTGGAGCTCTTCTTCTGCCATTCTTGTGCTATGTGCTCGCCACCTCTCGCCAAGAGGACGACTCGGTGAAGTTAACGGGCAGAGTGCATGCAGGTACCAATGAAACAGGCAGGGAAGCCATTCATTCATGTTCTGCAGACTGGATGCAACGATCACAGGAGCTATTTCAGACCTGCCACTGCCACAGATAATAGATCTCTTCTCTTTTTCTATTATCAGACCACTTGATTTATTGATTGCCGTCTGGACGTGAAGAAACTTTGATCAGATATAAGAAAAATACTCCTGATATGAACCTCCTAATCTCACCTGCAGTTGCTGCTCACAGGAACTTCCTACAGCAAAGCCTTTACAAGAAGACAACCTCATTTCCATATAACTGAGTGGATTTTTGAATTCACTTACATGTAAAAGTTAGTGTGAAAGGAGCATATTGACATCTGGCCAGTCGATAGGAGGCTACAGGAGGCTGCGTGATGTCATCGGTGTCGCTGCTGAGTCATGCAACAGACACATCGCAGCAAATGTGACGAGAAGGAAAACAGACTTAAACACATCATGCTGCTACTTTTTAAACTTGGTGTGAAAAACAACTCACACAATTCTCATGTAGCATTCAGTACATACAAGAGACTCCCGTCAGACAGAACAGGATTCTTCCAACAGGTTCTTACTCTACTACACTTAAGGACAGTTTTTATGTGTGAGCTCTGTGTGCACAGCCAAGTTAGTGAGCAACAGGAAGGACACACTGAAAAGGAAGATTTAAAATGGGTTTGGGTGAGAAACCCACTTGGCTTGAACTTGGGTAAAAGTGAATTTAAAACTCCTTATTTCAGTTTTGCTGTGTTGTAGCTGCACCTGAGGCGTTCAAGGAACACCGGTAAAGTGTAGAGTCAGTCATTTTGGGTACAATTCTATTTATATTTTGCTTCTAGTAGATGCACTAATGTCTTATTTTAATGCAAAGTGGCTCGTTAGCAGGAATGTAGCTCAGGATGG